AAAAAAATTACTCAAAACCCCGGCAATGAAAAACGTTTGTACTCTAGCCCATATTCCAGGATAAAGTGTAGGTAGTGCTTTTGCAGCCCCCTTGAATAGTTCCAGTGCCCCAAGGGGCAGTGCCACCCATTTGGGGAAGTGCTTATCTAGACACTCTGCTGAAATCTGTCCAATAGAAGTGGCTCTGCTGGTACTTGAAATCCCGGTGGCAGAGCTCCGAGCATCATAGCAACACACAAGCCACCCAAGACACACAGACAGCTACGTGGTGGGAAGACAGATGATCACGTGCACTGCGTTGGTCTAGGGTGTTGGAGCTCCAAATTCTGCACCACGCTGTTACCCTATTTGAAGCCAGCCTGGATCTGTAGTCTACCTTCCACACACTCCGGACTCTTCTCTAGCTGGGGCGTGGTTTGTGATTCTTGGTGTCATCTTTCCCCCTTCTTCAAGATGGGCATCTTATCTTGTCTTCTTTCAGTAAAATCCACTTCCGGTCTGCTCAGGGTGACAAGGGGGAAGTCCCAGTGGAGACCCCCTCTTCAGGGCCAACGTTGGGTTGATTTTATTAATGGAATTGGCAGTCCCCCTACTGCATCTCTACAAGGCAGTTCCAGCAACCTTCAGCATTTCACTTCCCCCTGGCCTCTCTCCTCCCACCACACTCACATCTCGTCCCTCCGGCCTGCGCAATGGGTGCAACGCTTCACACGCTCAGCAGCAAGGTCTTACAGGCCTGTTTGTTGTTAGCCGCTGTCAAATTGGCTCTGACTTGGGGCGACTGCCTGCACCGTGGGACAAAGTGGTGCCCGCTTCCCCACCAGCCCTAGGCTCTGTTACAGATTGGCTCAGACTTTTCCTGGAAGCTGGGCTGACACCTACTTACCATCATAGCAATATGCAAGCCTCTACTGATGGAGGGGTGGGGCAGTGCTGGAAATGCATCGACTGGGAATTGAACCCAGGGTTCCCTCATGGACTGTGAGGCTTTGAACCACAACTTTCCTTGACATTTACAAAAGATTTATATTTTCAAAGCTCCTCGTGTGCAGCCACATTTGAATTCCGTGGGGGAGCCTGGGAGATGGGACTGTGGAGATGAAAAAACTGCAGACAGGTCACCCAGCTGATCATTGGCAAGAAGGCCTACAAGTGAGCTGAGTTCCCTGCCCTCGCCCCCAGAGCTCCTGCAGGAGGAGAGGACGGAGCACAAAGAGGACAGGTGTTGCTGTCAGATGGTTGTGGAGCTCTTGATAGAGAACTTTTGCGCCTTTGCCTTTGTTCACTCTACCCCTTGTCCTGCACATCCTCTAGGGGGCCCATTCTCTTGGTCCTCCTTTAACTTGCAGATAGGATTCTTTCTCTTTCTTTTGGTCTCAGAAAAGAAGCTTCTTGCTAACGGCCTCATTTCTCCCTTCAATCATCCCCATCTTGTCCTTAAAGAGGATTTCACACACACCCCCTATTCCAAACCCGATTTCAGCTGCAGTTTTTCCATGCTAATAATCTCTCCTGCCCGGCAGCTCTAGAAACTCCCCCTCCATCACCCTGAGGGGCTTCCTTTCCCTTCTTTTCACCCTGCTCACGGGCACAAAGTGAGAGCTCGAAGAAACACCGTATAGAAGCTCAAAGCCCTGTTCACGGCTGGGGCGTCATTGCAACACATTTAGTCTCTGATGGGAACAGGGCATCCTGTTTGCTCAGATCCTTTGTCTCTTGGATTTTTTCCCTACTGGCTTGTATTTGCCAATGTCCCAAGCTTGTGGAAATTGTTCTTTCCTGCCTTCTGTTTTCTTTGTCTCATGGATTCCCGCTTTGCTTCCTTGGGACCCTGAATGTTATTATTTTGTAGTCATTTCCAGGGAAGTTCCTGGGCACATTTCTTCAAAGGTGGGAGAATTGTGGCCATGTTCAGGGGCTGAGCAGGATTCAATACTGAGGGAGGGGTGACCGGTAGAGAAGACAGGAAGGAGTAGTGAGAAAGCAAAGTCCTAGAGAAAATCAGAAAGACCCCCAAAACAGGAGCAGAAACCTTCTAAGTTAGGTGGAATGGAAATAAGATGGGTGTGGATGGAGACGCTCGATGGTGGGAGAAAAGGGGGGCATTTTAAAATCCTAATCTTCGTGCAGGAGAATCTCAGTGAAGTAGGCTTGGGTGCGGGTGGCATGGACTAGCCTGGCAGTGCTCAGTGACCCAGGGACAGGTGGAGGGGGATTAGACTGGTGGTTCCTAATGCTGTGACCCTGTCATACAGTTCCTCATGTTGTGGTGAGCCCCAACCATAAAGTTATTTTCGTTGCTACTTCATAACTGTAATGTTGCTATTGTTATGAATCGTCATGTAATACCTGATATGCAGGATGTATTTTCATTGTTACAAATTGAACATAGTTAAAGCATAGTGATGAATCACAAAAACATTATGTAATTCTATATTGTGAAATATTTATTTCTAATAACAAATCAATGAAACTTTGTCTTGAAGCATGGTGTAGCATGGGTAACAGTCTTCATGCCGGTGGGTAGTCTTATGTTGGCATATCTGCATGTGGGCGGACCCACCTGGAGACGGATAGAGGAGCAGTGTCTCGCTTCCTAAAACCATGGGAAATATGTGTTTTTCACAGGCCACCCCTGTGAAAGGGTTGTTCAACCCCCAAGGGGTAGAGACCCACAGGTTGAGAAATGCTGGAATAGATTTGAGTGAAGGTTGGGCGTTTGGAGGACAGGTGTTGAAGGGCACATTTGTGAAGGAGCAGAGCACACCAGGTCAAACTGGTATCCAGTGGAACCCAGACTGGACTGGACTTAAGTAAAACAGAGGTGAGTAGTCGTGGATAAAATCCTCAACAAGAGGACCGAAAGGTTAGATGTTTATGGTCCAAAGTTTCAAGATGAGAGCTAATGGGTTTTGACATAACACGTATAGATGATGACAAGGTTCATCATGTGGAAAAACAAGTAAGCTGCAGAAGGATAACAAAAAGGAGGATAACAGAAACTGCACACAGCAATGTAGGCAGGCACTGCTCCCCTGATCATTACCTGGTGTGGTCAATTTGAGACTTAAGAGTGAAGGGGTGGAGTTTAGCCGGTCAGTCAGGTCTTAGCTTGATGACCTCTTTTGGAGGCGCTAAGGAGATGACCTCATTGGAAGTGGGACACACGCTCACTCCCTGCAATACATTACTGACAAGGAGCCTGATGGAGCCAAGCCGATGCAGCCAGAGCCCTGGAGCTGAATGATCTAGTGGAGATCTCTGCCAGTGCTGAGATGCTTCCACTGCCACTGGATCACAAGACTTTCCACCCACTGGCCTGTGGTCTTCCTGTACTTGGCATCATTGCATGTGTTGCGTGAGTCTGAAGGAGAATCTATAGGCTGGTACTGTACATATGAACGAATATCGGACTTAAGGAGTTTATCTGGACTGGGCTGGGATGTTTTCTTAATGTACAATTACTCTTTATATAAAGCTCTTTTCTATACACATATGATTATTTATGAATTTGTTTCTCTGGTCAACCTGGACTAACACACCTGGGGTCACATAAAATGGGTAAAACACTACGAGCCCTGTCCTATCAATAAGATCTAAATGACCTTGCCAGGGGCCTTGTCACCATCGACTCTTCCAACCACAGATTCTGCCAGCCGCTCCTTCATCTTTGCTTCCTGACTCAGATTTCTTGCATGCTTTTTATTCCTCCATCAAATCATGATTTTGATGACTCCCCTAATGATTCCACTTTTAGATCTTCAGTACACTACACCTGCGTGTTAAGAAAACAAAAATCCTCACAAGTAGACCAATAAAAACCACTGTGATAAATGGAGAAAAAAGGAGAAGTTGCCAATTTAAGGATCAACTCCAATGAAGAATCAGTCAAGAAATCTAACAGTGTGCTTCCAGTGACATGTTTATAGCTCTGAAAAGCAAAAATGTGCCTTTCTATTGATTATATATATATATTTACTTAATATGTGTTTATGTGTGTAGATATGCATTCATATAACTATGTCCAAAAATTGGGACAATGAAAAAAATAAAACAAGAAGAAAACTGGATGCATCTAAATTGTAGTATTGATGAAGAATATTGACTATCCCATGCATTGCCAGAAGAACAAACATAGTCTTAGGAGAACTTTGAGGGGGCTTCAAAAATTCATGGAAAAATTCCATTATCTTTTAATTCCATTTTCCCACAAACTTGTCTCATTCAACCAGATGCTGCTTAGAAATAAGGATGGCAAAACTTCATCTTGCCTACTTTGGACATGTCATCAGACAAGACCAATCGGTAGAAAAAGACATCATATTTGGTAAAGAAAAGGGTCAGAGAAAATGAGGGAAACCCACTGTGAAATGGGTTGACATAGTAGGGGCAATAATGGGCTCAAACCTTCTAATGATGATGAAGATGGCAAAGGACCAGGTGATGTACGGCTCTGTTATCCCTCAGATCAGCAGGAGTTGGAGCCAATTTGCTGGGAACTCAGAACAACATCTGTGCAAGATAACATCAGATTTCTTTTTTTTTCTCCAAGATCTGTGACTTTATTAACGATTCGTTTTGGAGGCATTAGGAGAACCGAGCTGTGAGATCAAATAAAGAAGCCTTCATTTGCCATCAGTTGAATGTGTTTGCTGAACACATTGTCCTTTCAGCTTAAGAGCAGCCCAGAGAAAAGTTAGCATGGGGGATTTTCATTAAAGGGGGAGAGGGAGGATGGTCACAGTTGGGTAGGAAGGCTTACATAAGAATAATTATTCATTTTCTTTTCTGGGAAAAAAAAATCACCTGTAAAATGACAACTGTCTCTTCTAGATGGGGACGAGTGGCACGATTTAAAATCTTTCTGACAAATAGATCGTCGTTCTGCATCCAGCCTGGATCGCCCTCTTCAAAAGGGTGTACGCGGGCGCCAGCTCGGCATCATGTTCAAGGCCTGTGTCGTGGTGCTCAAGTTCTTCGTCCCGAAACTCCTTTATGACCTAAAGGAGTTCCTTGTGCTTTACAGGACCCTCCTCCATCAGCGCCCGGATCTGGTTGTTGTAGTGATGTGACACGGACTCTTCCACGGCCACGGTGCAAGCCATCACGCCTTCCTTCCCCAGCAAGCCGGTCCCCGCTCCCAGGGCAAACCCTATCACGTTCCAAAAGGGCATGAGAGCCGTCGGCCGGACCCTGAGGGCCACCATCAGCTCACTGAACTTCTTCAGATGTTCCTTCTCCTGATCCCACATTTTCTGGATGATTGGTCCAACGCTGGTCTGGCCCAGGACCGCCATCTGCCCTGCATAGAAACGGTTGGCGCCATATTCACCAGCATGATCCACCCGAATTATTCGATCCACAGTCGCCGGGTTGATGGTGTCTAAGGTCATTCCCGAACTGCAACACCTGGCGCCAAGCTTCCTTCCAAAAACTGAGAGGGGCCGCCGGGCACTGGTGTGCAGCCGCCACAGAGGACGGGTCACCGCCGCCCAGGCCCCGGCGCAGGTCATCGCCCCGACGACGAAGCAGCGCAGCGGAACAAAACGGGCCAAACAACATCAGATTTCTTTTTTTTTTAAACATTTTATTAGGGGCTC